AATATAGTATTATACATTCATACACATTTTATACATATACGTGTATACTTGGGAGCAAGGAAAATGTGGGGTCTTTGGAGAACCAGATCTTAGCCGACGCACCGAGGGGATAATCCACGGTGACTCGTGGTCAGGCCACAATAGGTGAAATGATTTTCCCTCACTTTGAAATTAACTGGCGTGCCCCCTAAGTGGGTTTAGTTTATGACTTAAGAAAAGCAAAGAGCGGTCAACCTTGATGACCAATCCCAACGGCATTAGGTACCTGTAAGCAATTTTTACTCACCCAATCGCGAGTCTAAGTCTTAAGATCTACTCCGATCCTGTTGCTCCTCCCCTTTACCTGTCCCCGTCGTTCTGAGCAAGAAAAATTCTGAAATTATGCAAACTGAGCCCCAAGAAGTAAAATTATGCGATTCTGTTAATTTTAACAAAGAATGATAAAGGAAAATAATCAGAAATTATGCCCCCCAAAAAATGGTCAAATTTTGCTAAATTATGCGGGGTGCATAAAACCACGGAGACAGGTTCACAGTTCGATGTGAACCCGTCTGACGCAGACTTGATGTAGGCCGCCCTACCCACCCCAGCTTGTGATGTAAGTTCAGCTGGGAAGCTCAGATGCGAGTGCGATGTATTTAAAGAAAATAAACCTCAGAGTTCAGAGTGATCCCGTCCGGGGATAACTCAGTGTACTGAGTTTCATTGAGCTTTACAACGAAGCTGTGTTCACTTTCACGAGAGTGGATGCTCCGTGATACAAAGGCCTGTATAATGATCGCATATTATTTTACTGCTTGGGTGATCAGCTGCACCAACCCGGGTATTTTTGTTCACCAACTTTGCACTGAAATTCTGGGCCTTAGCCGAATGCCAGCCTTCAGAGCGGGATCTTAGTGATGAATATTGTGTAGAACAAAAAAATAAATTATGTTGGGGTTTTTTTTTAAACAACGGGATTGGCAAGCGTTGGGATCTTAAGCGGAGACTGAAGTATAAATGTATAAATTATATGTATGTATGTATGTATGTATGTATGTATGTATGTATGTATGTATGTATGTATGTATGTATGTATGTATGTATGCATGTATGTATGTATGTATGTATGTATGTATGTATGTATGTATGTGTGTGTGTGTGTGTGTATGTATGTATGTATGTATGTCTGTGTGTCTGTCTGTGTGTCTGTCTGTCTGTGTGTCTGTCTGTCTGTGT